ATATTTTATTCTACGCAGGACGTTATCTACAAAGGCATAAGTTATTCAATATATTGAAGAGACGAATGTATATGTCAAGATACTGAAATACATCTTAAAACAACTCTGCCAGTTTGTCTGCTATAATACACATACTTACATATTTCAGGAAAGTTGAACAATGCATATAAAATCGGTGTATTTCATTTTTTTATTATCAAGTGTGCCATTATTTATTAACATATACCATAGTGTAGGGACATCTGGAAACTTAAAGTCAACTAAAGGCAACATTAATATATTTGTCCGTTTAAGCGTGATATTGTCCAGAGATACATTCATAACGAGGGGGGGGGGGGCACTCGCGCGGCTAATAAAGAAAAACAGTGTTTTTCTTGATATTCAAATCTTACAAAGGACGTTAGTTACTATGTTTCTGTTGCGGAAACAACTCTGTCAGTTTGCTTGCTGAAATAGCCATACTAACATACATGAATTTTAGAAAAGTCGGAAAATTCAGACAAATCAGTGTATTTCATAATTTTCAATAATCAAGTTTGACTTTATTTGTTAAGATGTCTTTTTGAAACACATTCCATATTGTAAGGACACATGTATTCTTTAAGATAAATAAACGTGATTAGAAATATATTTGTCCGTTGTTCTATGCAATACCTCAGAAATGCAGGGATTTTTCGGACAATACAAGCAAATCGGTGTTTTTCATAATCTTTAATTTTTATGTGTTAATTTATTCAGAAAAGTATCTTCATTAAACATAAATCCTATTGTAGAGAAACATACGGCGTATATACATTACGATAAATGAATGCATTCCTATATATATCTCTCCGTTTTTCTATGATAGTGAATAGAAATACATTGTTAAATAAAATAATAATAATAATGATTTTATAATTTGTTGATCAATATAAATTTATTTTTTGCAGCCACATATTAGATAGTGATAGAATATAAAAACAATTTGTTCATAAGAATGGAATAATAACAACAACAACAACAACAACAACAATAATAAAAATAATAATAATAATAATAATAATAATAATAATAATAATAATAATAATAATAATAATAATAATAATGATAATAATAATAATAATAATAATAATAATAATAATAATAATAATAATAATAATAATAAATAGTAATAATAATAATAATAATAAGAATAATAATTATCATTATATATGATTAGAATAATAATTATAATGATAATAATAATGATATAATAATAATAATAATAATAATAATAATAATAATAAAAAATAATAATAATAATAAAAAAATAATAATAAAAAATAATAATAATAATATTATAATGAAATGATAATAATAATCATAAGAATCATAACAAAGTTATAATAATTATAACAATAATATAAATAAAAATTATAATTAAAACAATAATAAATAATAAAAAATATATATTCATTAATAATAATAATAATAATAATAATAACAATAATAAATAATAGAAAAATATATGTTTAATATATATAATAATAATAATTATAATAATATTAATAATAATAATATTAATAATAATAATAATTATAATTATAATCATAATAATCATAATTATAATAATTGTAATACTAAAAATAAAAATAATCAATATCATAATATAATAATAATAATAATGATAATAATAATAATAATAATAATAATAAAATAATGATAATAATCATTATAATAATGATAATGAATAAAAGTAATGATTATATAAATTATAATCGCATCATGGAATTTTATTCTTCTTCCTTGTTTTCATTATTATTATTATTATTATTATTATTTTTATTATTATTATTATTATTATTATTATTATTTATCATCATAGATATAAATAATTCGTAATCTCTTATTAAATGGAAATCAAATGGATAACTGTGAAATAATTTGAAAATGAATCATTTGATGAACTTTTATCGGAAAAAATTCCAGTTGGAATTTTTTCCAACAAAAATAATTGGAAATAAATCCAATCGGATTTTCATTTGTTTCAAAGCACCTTATTGGTCATTCAGCGTGTTTAATTATGTTAATTTCTATCGAAAACTATCATTTGCCTTTAATTATTATCGCTTTTATACTTATTAAAATTATTCTGTAAAAACCCAGTCGGAATTTTTTCCTGCTTTCAAAACGGGATTTTTTTTATTTTAGAGAATAAGTTCTTCAAAACAAGTCAGAAAGTCATTATAGAATGTATGAATGGTTATTTTTATAGTTTAAGCGTTGCTGGAAAAATTGAAATTCCCGTTAGAATAAATAATAATGTTGGAAAAACTTCCAATCGGAATATAACTAAATTCCGGCCGGACAGCATAATTCCGGGCGGAATACATGAATTTCCGCCCGGACAAATTTTAAAAAAAATTAAAATAGCTTCAAATGAAGTCAATTATTTATAATTAACATCAAATCTATCGGATGAAATGATTTTAAGTGTTTAGGGCAAGTATAAATGGTAGTGAAGTTTGCCACTATCCCGGTGGTGCAAAGATTTTCTGGTGTTTTTTATATATTGTCCATTATTGACTATTGTTGTATAAAATCGGGTAAAAGAAACACAAACGACATAAATAATGTTTGTAATCACAAAAACGAATTGCTAAATTTTCATTTTACAGCAACCACAAAGATTTCTGTCAATGAAGCTATTCGAAGCTCTTTACTTGTTATCGTTGCTTGACATATGTAAATAACACACGGCGGTTCTTGTTTTTAAAACTTTAAATAACATGGCACCGACTAATATGACAGAACTGATGACTTTATCCGACACCAAAATATATAACTTTAGATCTAGGTCACGAAAAGATATTGTGTTATGGACAAGACCTAAAACAAATTATATTAAAGACACATTTTGTTATAACGGCATGGACATTTTGAACAGTATACCTTTAAATATACGAAATGTTAACCCTTTACCTCATATATACGCGAAACAACGCTCTTTTGACCCCTTCCTTTTTAGGCCTTAAATAGTGAAAAAAATGCCCTATTTTGGCCCCAAACACACGATTTTGTTTGAGATTGTTGCTAAAAAAAGTGAGCATTTTTCGGCGCCGCCCCCATCCAAAAGATTCATCAGGGGGTTGCCAGAACGGGGATGTGCCCCTTTCTGTTTGGGGGATTGAAAGGGACGGAGTCCCCCTCATCGCCAAGAAAATTTTGGACTTGCGAGAAGCTTAAAATTAAATGACCCCAGGTCAATCATAGTGTAACGTGTAACCAACGCTGAAAAGCCTTTGACTCTATCTCAATTCCTTGAGAAGTTGCAGCACTTTAAAACGAATTTTGATGGAAAAAATCGAGGCAATATAGTGACTTTTGGCAATTTTGTGATGTCCCTTCGATGCCATGGTAACAGGAAATTTAAGACTGAGCATATCGTTACAAAGGCAATGGTCCAATCAACATTTGTGCCAAGTCTGATTAGTATTGAAGCATTTGTCATAGTTTCATTGCAGTTTGAACTTTTAACAGGAGGCTTTTCAGTGAAAACGGCCATTTTTAACAATATGGGTTAACAAGGGTTAATAACCTTAAATGTTTTAAAGAAAAATTCAAAACATATCTTGATATTCATATGAATGAACGAACAAATGATGCAATTTATACGAATATGTTTAAACAAATTGTTGAGTGTCTGTCGAAGTATATGAGTTGTCTGATCCTAAAAGATACATATTATACATTCATTTTTCTTCATATGCATGATCTGTTGTTGTTGTTGTTGATTTCTATTTCAGAAGGCCACATTGGAAATAAGATACATAGCATTGCTATTGTATGTTCTTAATATGTAACCTTCTTTAAATAAAGATATTATTATTGTTGTTATTAAAATTATAACCTGCAAAAACTATTGATAACTTATTAAGTATACCAAAAATGCCGACGACATTTTCAATGTTAAATAATTTTTTATTACGTAATAAGCTACCTACAACAGACATATTTAATTACAGTAACAGAAACTTTCAAATTATTTGGAAGAAAACAAACATGAAGTTGTCCATAAGTCCATAGAGTCGTTAGGTAAACTTGCAAAACAATTTTGCCTATTAAAATTGACTCATCATTTCAAGTTAATTTTCAAGAAGTTACTTCAAATATTTTTCGAAAAGCATCAATAATGTGTTAACATCATCGGACTGGTATTTTGATACTTCTTCAAATGCCTTTCTGGAAACAATCGGTTTTACTGCATAGCTAAAGATAGCTTTCTCGAGAAATCGGAATTGCAGAGAAGGCAACACATATTTAGTCATACATGTCCTCAGATCTACATGGAAGAAATAAGAAGACTAATAGATCTGAACATTAGTCAGATTATAATGCCATTACTTTCAGGAACGTTAGTACGTATATTTTAGAAACAAAAAGCTTTAAGACTTGACAGTGAGATTATAACATTTTCTTTTTGTTTCTCTTTCTTATCATCTTACTTTTTGGTGCATTTATTTATTATTTATTCATTCATTTTATTTATTTTGTTATTCATTCATTCAAGTACTGCTATACCTGTTCATGTAGGCATTACTTTAAAGTATTAAGTGATACATATTTTTTTCTATCGTTATAACATAGTTATGTATATTTGTCTTCAAAATAATTAAGCTGTATTTAACTTGATACACTTGATAAATTCACGAAAGGAAGCCATTGTCATCCGTTTTAATCCTTTCTTTCAAGTATAAAATTCGACTTCCTTCAAATATATAATGCGACTTCCTATGATTATTTGATTCGACTTTAATTGTAATTGTATAATCATTTATGTTTTTTTAAAGAACATTTTATTATGTTAAATTCAATGTATAGTATCCAGGTTTGTTAATTATCAGACAATCCAAGTTATAACCTTCTCGAGAATCGACCATAAGATTATGAAAGCTACATAATTTTACTTTTTATAAATTTTATAGAAATATTTCATTAGATACAGCTTGATACCATTTGAGTAAATGATAAATTAAACTTACCTGATTTTAAAACATATATTGTGAAGACACAAAATATTAGTTTTCCGTTCATTATAACTTAACTCTGATAACTTAAGCTAAAAATGATCATCATTGTCATTTGATTCTACTACATTATTTGTTTGTTCCACCTTGGAAGAACAAGATCAACTGACAGAGTAATACTAGTGCCAGTGTTCTGTCTGGGATAAGGTTTGACATTTAATTTCCCGCCCTATCCTCGGTCATATTGGGGATTTATAATGACTTGCCCATAATAATTATTATATACAGGAATATTGCATTTACAGATAAGTCAGGTTGTTAATTTTGTTATAGCGCAACAAGCTGTTTCGTAATAACGCAATAAATTCAGTAACAAGATAACCTTTCCTTTATGGTATTTATCTGGTTTTTTATCATAAAAACACCGGAAACTGCTTAACCCATGTTAATTATTAAATTGGATGGTTAGGGATAAGCTGTGTTGATTTTATCAGTATGGTGTAAAAAGAAACGATTAAATTGGAATAATATGCTGTAGTTTTTTTTTGTTAGCTTTGTTCTAGTGTGGCGAACGTAAGTATCGCCCAATACTTCCTGTCCTGTTGGTAGTGTGATAGCGGTAATTTACAGATTAAATACTACTTTGACCGGTGTAAAAACCAACCATTAAGATGATTCTGAAAAGGTAGTGAATCCCCAAGTACATTTCTAAGGGCATTTCAGTAATAGTTTTGCGTTAAAAATCAAAATGGAAAACCACCAAAAAAAGAAAATTACAGTCGTAATCTATAGAAGGTGGTAATAAACAACATGTTTACATTATATTTTCATTATATTATGTAACATATTACAAACTGTGGGTGTATGATATTATGAATGTTTAAACGTTACATCATAATGTCAAGTCGCTCGTGTTCTCAGTATATGTATTGAAGAGACAATGTTTCGTACAAAAAGTGTCTTTTTTGTTGAATCTGTCTTATTACAGGTAAGACTAAATAACAATAACCTTTGGCATATTATGACGATAAACAAACCTTAAATTGGTAAAAATACATCAACGTTAAATGCCCTTCAATAACTGAGATCATGATGTGTAAGTCAACTGATTTAAATTCGATTTAATTGGACATTTTATCAAAAATCAATTTCATTTTATTAAAAAATGTTTAAAACACGTCTATTTCGCCAAAGCTTTTATCGATATCTTGAATTTTTGTCCAGGAGAAAATGTATCGTTTCGTCTTTTGCAAAACATTTTTTAACAATAAATCGCCTTGACTAATAAACTTCAAACGATTTTAGAAAATTGATTAAGAAAGACAAAAAATGGTTTAGTCTTTGTGAATATATCAAACAGATTTGTGTTAAAGCATCTGCTACAATCGAACAAAAATTAGTCGATTTACACCTCATAATCGAACTAAATGGACGCCTTAAACGTTTCTGTATAAAAATATCCTTTCACGAAGACAATATGCTGTACTTGTTTTATTATCACACAGAACTAAATTAAAGTCACGGATTCTAGGCATAATATGAAAACAAGGAAAATAATGACAGCAATTACGGAAAAATTCAATTTGATTCCAAATAAACGTACTTAAATTGAATGCTTTTATCATATTACTATTGTTGATCCATTTATAATTGAGATGTGTGTGAGTTTTCTTATCCTTGTTTTCTTATCGTATTATTACCTTTCATTTTAACTGAAGTAATTTTAATGCATTGTGCACTGGATGTCACAGAATGAAACATATTGCCTAAACTAAATGCAAGGCAAACAGGAGTATAAACTGATGTGTAACATGACAGTGATAGCACATTTTGAATTCCCACAAATAATTATTGGATCTTTTCATGTTTTCGAGCGCAAAGAATCCAAATCGAATCGAAAATGTACACTTGTAGCCTCATTTATATTTTCAAAGTCGATTCTTTCGCTAATTCTTGCCTTTTTCATTCAATATCCTATATAAATCGGTTTGAACATGATTAAGACATCGTAGAGTGCATTTTCGCTGGTTAAAATGCATTTTATCATTCAAGCGCTTGATCCGCTATAAACAGAAATACAGTACTATTCAATGTGGTGCCATTTTTAAGGTGTCATCCCGCTACGAAGTTAGAACAAACCTGTTGGAGTCTAGACAGTAGTTCTTTTAAATATTATTCAGAAGTGGCCCAATTTTAGTCACCTCTAATTTTATTGGTCGCAATTAAAGTGTATTTTTTGCGGCTGTGTCGTTTTTGTGTGATATTTGATGACTTTGTAATTTGTTTTTGTGTAGGCCTATTCTCAAGGACCTATTTGTTTGGCGGAATGATAAATGATGTACTTTCCGCCAGCGGTCAGAAGTTTTAAAGTGGTGACTTTGTACCGAGTTACAACAAAATGAAGATTGCAGATAAAAAGTAGATGGCTAACATATTATATTTCGGGCCGCATTTGTTTCAAAGTGTTGTTGTTGAGAGTTGAAGACAGTATTTGATTCATCAAGACCAGTGCAATCCAGAAAAAAAGTCTCAAAATTAACTGATTTACTATAGAACAAAGGGTACGAATATTTACTAGGCCGATATCTTAAGCGGCTTGACCGGCATACATCGGAATTCGTTATTTAATGTGGTGCTCCAACAAAATTTTTAAAGTCTTAATATAGAAGATCAATTAAACTTATGAGAATATGTAACGCTAAAACAAACTCAGCAGTCCACGATATTTATCTTCATTGCATGTTTAATGAGCTGATAGGTATTATAACACATACAATGAGATATTAGAATGCCATAAAGATAGGCATAATAATCACAAATTAATTCGTGCAAAGTATGCACGTTGGCATTTCATAGCCATTGATGTAAATGTCAATAGAAACATAATCGACTGAAATAACACATTTCCGTACATTTGCAAAAGAACAAACATCATGCAAGACTTTCGAAACTTTCGAAACTGTATCATTATTGACCTAAAAAAAAATTTTTGGCTGTATCGACCAGTATTTTATTCAGTTGCAAAGCAAACACTTTATGACTTAAAGGCTCATTATGTCAACAAATACTTGTATTATTATTTTTTTTAATGTTAAATTTTCCAAGAAGATACTCATATCTGACTATTTGTTTTCTCTCTTCTTTCTACTTTGCAACATGTGCAGTTATAGTGGCTAAGTGCTTTGTATGGAAGTCAAATTACTACTTACATTTTGTTGCTTTTATGACAAATATTTTCACATTTACCAGTTAACAAGCATTTTATATATACATGTACTCAAAACCCGTTATTTATTTGTTATTATACTCATGTTCGCTCTACGCTTTTGAAGACGTAAAAAGGAAATTTATTCGTTACCGAAGCATAATGAGCCCACGAGTTTTTGCTTTGTTTGTTTCCTGTCGGATTTATAGTATCTGAATATGGTAAAGGCCAATAACATTATGTTGGCCTTATTGCCAGACGTTCAGTATTGAAGTCACCTACCAGGTAATTACCTTAAGACTCAATGCATTGTTAGGTATAATTCCTGATTTATAGTTTTAAATCTGATTCCAAGCAGTTACCTTATTATTCAATATTAGTTTGCTTTGTTGTACTGGTTATGATGTTATAAGATCGACAGTACTTCGGTCATTAATTGTTACTTTATCAAAATTATCGATAAGTGATCCAAACACTGGTTTGTATGTTTAAATTCAAATAAACGGTATATCTTTTCATTTTATACATCTGGCTAGCCTACTCTCCTTTTAATGATAACTATGATAATTTTAAACTTTTTCATCATATTTAAAATGGCATCAGCATATAATTAACTTTACTACATCAGCCTATTACGTTTCCATGCGTGCACTAAAATTAAAACTGAAACGCTCAATTATAAATAAAATCTACATTTCATACATGCGTCCAATATTAGAATATGCCTCAGTTGTGTTGGACGGATGTACAGTATATGAATAACAATCACTTGAACAACTACAGTATAGATAGTCACAGGGCTGTCGGTATCAATCAACTCGCTTATTAAAGAAGTTGGTTGGTTTTCCCTGTCAGATAGGCGTAAAATACAAAAAAAGGAGTTACGGTTTTTTAAAGCTAAAAATGGTCTCCTTCCACAGTCAATACCTTGAAAACATATTTCTATCGATAGTTTCAGAATGATCAATAAATAACTCGCTAAGAAAAAACAATAACAACTATAGCTAGGCGCACCGAAACGTAAAACAAATCATTTACACCTTCCGCTAGTGAACTATGGAAAAAATTAATCCATTCAATATTTTTAAATTTAGAATGACATAAAAGTTTAAAGCCCCAGTAGTAACTAAACCATTTTTGTTTGGGATAAGATATTTACATGCTCGATTAAGGAACGATTGTAGAAACTTAAACGATGATCTTTTCAAAAAAAATCAAAAATCACTAAAAAGAAAGCACGACTTGTATATATGGTAACCTTTGTGAGGATGCCGAGCACTATCTATTTTGCTGTCTATTATTTAAACTTCAGAGACTTATACTCTTCGCAGAAACCAGAATTTTTCATCCACTTCACGTTGAGCTATAACTGTTGGGTAGCAATTCGTTAGATGTTAAAAATAATGAACAAATATTTGCGGATGCCCAAACATTTATCAAAACTACTGACTGTTTACGAAAAACCTGATATTTGTGTAAATCGATCGATTGTTTAAATCTGAATAAGCTGGTACCATAATAATTATCAAACACACTCATGATGTTTTGACGAATACTGCTTAACCTTGTGTTTATTATACTAGTACACAAATATACATTTTTACTCTGTCTCACTTCTCATATTGGTTTAATCTTTTTGATGTAAATATATCTTGATTTTTCTTCGGTCGCGTTAAATGTATACATGTTACAATGTCTAATGTTAATGCCATCAATGTTGATTAAACTATTTTTAGGGGAGGACCGATGCTAATATTGTAAAAACTTGGGCCCAATTCTTTTGCTAATGTTCATTTCGATATCAATTAGTTTCACCGTGTATTAACATGTATATCAATAATATATGATTAAACTGAAATGTAAAAAATCGTTTAAAGATATTTAAAAAGCATATCAAAATGGAATGATAATGAGATAAATTCGGGACTGATGAAGCATTGTTTTAAATGTTGTGCA